GTAGGCAACCCCAGGTCCATGTGCCAGAATGTGGCACATAAAGGCATTTTGCTTGGCACACGGGCCTTGGGGCAGGCGGCAGAGAAGGGGCTGGGGCTCTACTGCCACAACAAGGATCGGGCCACTTGCAGGTCCCCCACTGTCCACTCCTGACATGCCAACATCTTACAAGTCAAGGTTGGGAGTATTTTTGGCACTCTGACCAAAAATGTTGCCAACCCCTGCCCCACAGTGATGTATTCCCTATTCAATACCCTTTCTGCTATTGGAAGGAAATATCTCCAACCATTCTGTTCAGTAGCCATTAATAGAGCTATCTATCATCCATAAACTTATCCGGTCCCTTGTTGACCCTGGCTATACCATCTGCCTCTGCCACCTCCTGTGGCAATTAATCCCACAAGTTAACTATGTATTCGGTAAAAAAAGTCGCCTCTCATCGAGAAATAGCTTTTTGTCCTCTACCACACCATTGACCACATCACCAGAATCAGCCAGAACTACCTCTGGCAAAAAGAATGGGAGAAATTAGGCAACAAAGCTGTTGAAGGGAGCTGGCAAGGAATTTTACCCCCAGTGAGGAGTTAGCATTTGGCTCCAACTACAAATGGCATACATGGCAGAGCCTGAACAGACTGAGAGTGGGTCTTGGAAGATGCAACTTTCTCATGAAAGCATGTGGTCTCCAATGTGTTTGTCAGAAGCACACCATGCCCTATAGCACCACAATGCACCCCACAAGATCTGGCAACACCAACACCAGAAGCAACGGCCTTTGCAGAATATTGGGAGCAGGTCGCTTAGAAAGCTTGGATTGGAGACATGACAAAGAAGGCACATTCTCATTGTGTGTCACTGGTACTTTGGCTTTTCAGAAACCTCCTCCTGGCTGTGCGCCTGACCAGGAAGGAGGCTGTGGCTGGGAGGGTCCCCAGGGACTCTGTAAGGAGTTGGGACTTGAGAGTGAAGCAGGGAAAGGAAAGCGGCCCTGCAGCTCCTGGGGACCATCCTGGCCAGAGCCTCCTTCCTGGTCAGGCACACGGCCAGCTCGGCCAGGGCCAGGGCTAGGAGGAGGTTGCCCAGGAGTTCCCGAGACTTGGTGGGGTTGTTAACTGGGAGTGCATAAATAAAACGGTGCGGACAGGGTTGGAACTACACTTTGATTCTTGGGTGGGGGTTGCAAAAAAATTGGGCTGCCCTAATAAAACTGGAGACCCCCCCTTAGGTTATGATTTTCAGATCTTACAGGGGGCTCTCATCTCTTATGGGGGTGGGCTCAGCCCCTGAGCTCCCCCGTAATTTGGACCCTGGGTGCAGGGAACAGGGCAGCCAGAACCTCAATAAGAAGCTTGCGAGGAGGTGCAGGGGCGCCTGGCGCACTCTAGGCAGGTGTGTGCCATAGTCTTCCCCCTGCACACAACTAGGGTTGCCAACTTAGGTTGAATCTATTCCTGGAAGTTTCCAAAAAGCCAGCAACACACAATGTGAACGTGCCTGTGTTTACAGGTTTCCCTCGCCAACCATGGTTTTGCCAAGTGTGGTTTTGAATATCTGTGCTTAATGTTCTACATAGGCGACGTGTAGGGCGAGCACGCGCCCCCCTGAGGTTGGCCACTGCTGAAGCTGCCGCTGGCTTTTGCGGGTGGTCACCACTTGCACCCATCCCCCCTTGCTGCCAATGCAGCCGGCGGCGTTTGTGGGCAGTCCCCACTCGCTGCCATGGTGCCCCCGACAGTTGTGGGAGGCACCAGTCATTCATGATAGTCTATATAGCATTTTGGCTATAGGGTGGCCATCATAGAAGACAGTCTCTTAAGGAGAAAAATGGAGGGCATAAAGGTGTGGGGTTTTGTATCAACAGAGGAGAGAGGACAGAGTAGCAGAAAATGGGAATGTCCTCTATGATGGCCACCCTATTTAGCTACCACGGTACACAGTTTTGAGTAACCGCGGTTTTCAGTGGCCGCACATGAGCCCACCACCTCCCATTTTCTCCGTAAGCCTTTTGTCTTGCCAACCAGCGGTCGGCGAGGGAAACCTGTATCAGTTACGGATTATGGTGCGGAAACTGCACGCCGGGAAGGCAAATGCCCATGCCTGTTTAATTTTAAAAACCCGCTGGACTGCTGTACAAACAGGGATTCAACACTTCATCTTTATTTTAATGAACGCCCTATCCTTGATGTCCCGGGTGACTCCCAGCAGTCTCCTCCTGGAGACGTCTCTCTCATTCCTGGAGATGCCAGGGCAACCCTGGCGGTCCTGCAACTCGACCCACAAAATGAACACCACTCCCCACCCGCTCCACCCCAGCTGTAGTCCCCGCCCCCCCGGCGGACTACGATTCCCAGGCTGCCCCGCGCGCCG